AGAAGGGCCGACAACCAGAAGAACACACACCTTTTGAACCAGTGAGAGGGTTCCCCTGCTGTCTTCGTTTGGCATCACTTAAAATATCTATAACTAGCGTAGCAAATTCGTGGGCATTAAATCGAGCCAGTTTCTGTCTCCCCTAAAGTACAGAATAATGCAGGAAAAAAATAAAGTACATTGTGTGTTAGATGAACGCAGTGTTCCCAGGTACAACTCAGACTACAGTGTTAACGGTGGGTTCTTTGTACAATCACATTTATGGCAAAAAGTGTAATGCCAGTTATCCCACTGCACACTCCAGGAGGGCAGGGGAAATATAAAACTATTTTGACCTCTTTGCAAGAAGATGCAACTCTTCTACAGTAACGACGTACAGTAAAGCAGTATTACTTAGAATACCTGGTCTATTACATAAGAATAGTTTTACAGTATTAAGAAGATTGCATACCTGGTTTCTGGTTGAGGAATATTCAGGATTTACAGGAAGAAAAGGGACCACTGTGGTCTCTGTCACAAGAGTACTATGATTCTGAGTAGCAAGCCAAACTGCTCGGGGAAGAAAAAAAAAAAAAAGAGGAATAACCTTCCTGTACTATTTGACAGTGTTTCTTGTCAAAGAATAAAAGACCACAATTTCAAACACAATTCAAAGGAAGGCTTTCTTCCCCAGAGGGTTCTCTACTTTGTAAAAAACACAAGATTTTTTTCAATTAACGTCACCTTCAGACATGCAAGACAAAGAAATTGCCACTATCAGCAATTACTGAACACAAAAGTACTTCAAACAGAACACATTCTTGCACTGGCACCTTGTATATAACGTAACAATTCAAATTCATTCTACACGCGTTCCAGAACGCCTCATTCACCTGCGTCTGTTTCCCTCCTGTCGACTTCATCGTACACATCCATGGCAAGTTCTTCAAACAAGTGGTTGCTTAGCTAAGGGTAGAAGAGAACAGTTACAGCTTGGAAAGAAGCAAAACCTAGCAAGACCTCTGTAACACAGAAAGTGTAAGAGCACGACTCTGCTCTGTTTTTTGTTTCTCAGCCTGCACAGTAAAGTAGTCCATTAGCAGCCACACAGGACCACCCAGTTGCTAGATACAGACACAACAACACTGTTCTACACCTTTCCTTTACTGGTTATGGATTTTTTTTCCCTCCTATCTGATCACAAAAAGCCCTTGTGCCTTTGGGGCGAAGCAGACCTGCAGTGGGAATTAGGGATCCAAAGCCACTGTAGATGTGGGCTTCACGAACAGTGCAGACCCACAAAACGCCTGCATGACTCCAACCGTGTTCCTACAGTGGACGGCTCAAGAGAGATACTCGTGTTGCGAAGCAGCGAGCTGTTGGAAGGTGAGACATGAAACGAAGATGTCAGAGGGCTTGGTGGATGTTTCACTTAATGCAGGGCATCAGGAACAGGGACCAGACCTGGCGGCTAACGGACCGCGTAAGCCAGCATCAACAGACAGCTGATCTGCCTTCTCTGGGACATGCTGCACTAAAAAAGGTGAAAAACTTAACTTTTTGTTTTTAGCTTTATTTAAAAAAACAGTCCTGCTTTTTCCAGAGTTTGAGTCCTAAATTCTTAACCAAAGAGCAACTGCCATCATTCTTGAACCCAGATAAAGCCAGTATCTTTACTTGTGTACTGGGGTCTGGCTGGGATGGAATTAACTTTCCTCATAGTAGCCCATATGATGCCTGCTGCATTTTGGATTTGTGGCTAAAACTGCCTTGACAACACTAGCTTGTTTTGGCTACTGCTGAACAGTGCTTGCACAACTGCAAGGCATTCTCTTTTTTCCCCTCCACCCTGCCCACCCCACCACTCAGCAGCAAGTAGGCTCGGGGTGGGCATGAAGCTGGGAGGAGACACTAGCCAGGACAGCTGACGAGAATTTGCCAAAGGCATACTCCACATCACAGCACGGCACGCTCAGCAGTGAAAACTGGGGTGGAGGAGGAAGCAGTTTTGTTTCGGGCTCCCAAGGTGGCTGTTTGGAGACCAGCTGGGCAGCGGCCTGCCCCTGGGAGATGCTGAGCCATTCCTGTGCTCCACTTGTTTTCCTTCTCTTCCTTTCACCTATTAAACCACCTTTGTCTCACTCTGAGTTATTTTGCTTTTGCTCTTCCCATGCTCTCCTCATTCTGCTGGGGGGGATCGTGTTGGTGCTGGGCTGCTGGCCAAGGTCAACCCACCCCAACTTGCCAAAACACAGTGCAGGAATCCATCTCCTTCCAGCTAGAGATGCATTTGGAGTAGCCACGAACAGCACGTTAGCAGCAGAAAGCGAGTTACCAGGATTGTTCTTCCCCCAACTCTAAAATTTTTATCCTTTGACACAACTTGCTTCAGCTAAAAGCTTTAAATAGAGGGAAAACATAGTTCCACTTTAGCTTCTACAAGGATTTGGTCACCAACACTTTAGTAAAACGAGTGAGCTGGCACTACTACCAGCTAATTAGTAGACAGTAATGACCTGTTCTGGCTTTCCAGAAAGTTAAAGGCAAACAGTAACATTCAACATGCAGATTTATATAAAATACAAGAAAGCAAGACAAAAAAATACAAGAAAGCAAGACAAACAACAAAGTTTAAGGTTCTGAATCGGGGAGACAGACCTAGAGATACTTCCCCAAACAAGAACGAGTATTTGTTCCCTGTCATGGATTCATCAGCATCTCTGCTCCTCCGTTTCTGCCTATTTTCATGTTTTTCTCCAGATTTTTAACTCACTACAGAGTTGACATTTATTTATGCAGGAATTAATAGCAGCTGAAACCAGCTTGAAGAGTTTGCCACTTCCAGGCAAAGATGTGTCACACAGCACACTGGAAGTTTTACTTACAGACTGAAGCTTCTTCTTAGCTGCTTTTGCAAGTTCTGATAAATCCAGACTGCTATGAAAACAAAAAGTGATCATTACATCTACAGCACTTAATAGTTTGTTTAAAAGCAAATGCTGTATTTGGATAATTCAATGCTAAAACGTCACTTTTATTTGAAACTCCTTAATCTTTCAGAATTTTTAATATTGTTTTTAACACATTGATCTTACTGATATTGCTAGTGTATCAATGAGCATATTCTCAAGCTTTTCTAAACAACAATCTTAAATTTAAAACAAAAAAATCCCAAAAATCCTTTGGAATACGAATACCCACATTTGCACAGCTCACAAAGCAGTCAAGTTGTAGTGCAACAGAATGCTTTCTGTAAGAAATCTGAACAATATGACCGTTCTGACCCAAACTCAAGTCCACAGAAAACCCACAGGATTTGCTCCACTGGGCTGTGCAGGAGGTAGGTGACCATCAGGCTGGCAAATGGCCCCAGCAACAGGGCCATGCTGAAAATTGTTCTCTACTGATTAGCAAATAATCTCTTCTACTGGTCTCCAGTCTCGAACACGCGACACAAGATGAAAATCATGCCAGATTTTATCATAAGAGTTTATCACAAGAATTTATCTTAAGAGCCACAGCTGAGGAAATTTGACTAATTTTGAGTCCATATTTTTATCACCCAGAGGAAGATTCTCCTGACCTACACGGACGGAAAGGCTCGAATCAAACACTTGCTGACTAACTGACATCACAGGGAGCTTGTGTAGGCAGTCAGCCAGACCAGAAACAAAGGAAAAGACCAGTAGGACACGAGGCAGAGGTAAGGCAGGCTGTGCTGCAGGCTCTGCAGTCTAAGCAGCACCTCTGAACAAGTCACCTTCTCTGCACATCTCCTTCCTCCTCTGTGTAAGGAGGCAAATGATACTTGCTCTGCAAAATACTTTGCACTGAAAACATACAGTACTTTACCCCATAAACACAGCGTATCTACAAAAGTTACAGAGGTTAACACTAAGTATTTTACCAACTATGACACAGTTTCTATCATTTTTATCACTGACAGTTTTTCATAGAAGTTTTGCAAGCAATAAGTTGAACAGTAGTTTACTTACAGCCGTCTTATTTCCAATTGCATAGCAATAAAAGAAAAATAGGGACTTAAGATTAATACTTGATGTGTTTTACACAAATATCACTTCCTTGATCATAATCAAAGGTTAAAAGCACTCAGATGATCAAAAGTATAAATGTTTTCAGATAAAAATGCAGCTTTCTTGCAAGTATTAGTTTCAAAATCCGGTAACAGGAAACTAACTCAATTGGTCCTTTCATTATTTACAAAATCTGTTTCCCAGGAATCCCCCTGTGTGTTCCCTTAACATAATTGTCTCACCTTCTCCCTGCATTTTAACAAATACAGTAAACTTCTATAATTTTCTGATTTTATTTAAATAACAACATTCTTTCCAGACAAAAAAAAAGCTTCCAAGATCAATAAAGGCACACATTAAAAAGTCAGAATGACAACAAGCTTAAAAGTTGTTTCAGAACGGAAAGGAAACTTAATTATTAGTTTTTTTTGTTTCGATGTTTTCAGACATGGAATCAGCAACTTACCTGTCTGCCATCTGAGGTATAACAAAGTGCTGTCCGTTTTTATGCTCTAGAGTAGAAAACAAACAGCACTTGAGTGTGTTGCTACTGGACTATACTTTTCATGCTGTCAGGACATACAGCTAATATTCGGTCTTGCTAAAAGACATAATAATGAGAAACTCAAGAAAATATGCACCAGGCAAACAGAGAATAATTTATCTTGCACGTAATTACTCGATTTCCCATTATAGGAAGCTAGCAAGTGTTAAAAGAAGGCTCCTACCACAACTTCCTGGTGTCATCAAAGATTCCAATTAAGGCTTATCAACTGTATCAAAATTCTATTTAAAAAAAAAAGAATTAAGTTTAATATAGGTGCCTTTATGGCACCTAATGGATAAAAATTTTTAATTGTGCTTGTGTTCAAAAGGGACACACTTAATGAATGCTCCCCTGCTTTTGCATTTCAAAGAGAAATTAATGAGAAGATTTTCTGCAACATCTCCTGCAGACTATTCGATATTCACAAAATCTGTGTTTTTCCTGCAATCACTCCTTGAAGTTAAACAGTACTCATCTGATCTTATATGTAGGTTTCCCCACACTTTCAGGGGTATTCCATTTATAAAATATGTATTTGTGGAAAAATAGAAAGGAACTTAATTTTTATTTTTGATATACTTAAAATCCTGCGGTTTTATCCGAATTTTGAATGCATTATCACTAACCTTACATCTCATACTTTATTTAGTTCTTCCTGTATAATATAAACAACGTTAGAATATTTGAAATGCATATAACAAGTGCAGTAACACTGACACAAACATTCTGTACCATAGTTTGAACTGTCCTACAATTAACACTGAAAAGCCTCAGAGTGTAGTTTTTTCCACTTACCTGGCTTCCTGCCGCAGAGATAGAAAGCCAGCCTGTCTGTGAGCTCATACTGAATTTCCACCAGGCGTTCTGCCAGCTCATGATGCCCACCTTGTCTGGTTCGCACACACACAAAAAGTACATTAGTCGTTCATTTAGAGACATACAAAAAATTCAAAAATGGTCAGAGAAATAGATTTAGTACAAGTCACTGTTCAGCACTGTGTATGTTTGAGCACATCAACACAGCACAGACTCACAGCAGGATTTCCAACAGTATGTTCCAGTGGGGAAAAAAAAAAACTATGAATATATTTTTATGAACTTCCCAAAACGAGACAGTGACAACTCTGAAAACCTTTGCCTGCTGCTTTGCTGTAGAAACAAACCCAGATCATATGGGCTATTTCGAAACCAACAATTTTCTAGGCAGCTCCTGAGCTCGTGCAGCAAACTCACCCAATTTCACATCTGATTAATAGCACTGTGAAACAGAAATATTCTGGTGCGTTGTGTGCTGCAACCAAGTGAACTTATTAAGTCTTCAGGTTCAAAAGCAATCAGAGCAATGAGGATGTTTTATTTAACAAATGTGCAGTTTCCAGTTGATCAGCAACGTCCAGTTTTGCACATAAACACAAAAAAACCTTCAATGCTGTGCTACAAACCTGGCAGTGCCCCATTACTGCCCCAATGATCAGCAGAGATCAGAGACATTCATGTTTAATCTTTCTCGACATGGATGCTGTCTGCCTTTGGGAAACCAGAGCCTTTCCAAAGGTAGGCTCTCCTGAGGGCGCGGATCTGCGACTGGATGCATCTAACAGTTCACTGCCACTAAAGAGCCTGGTTCCATCCCTGCTTCCCTGACCCATCTGTGCAGCCCAGCTCCTTCCTACAGCAATTCCCTAGTTAATCCGCACTCCTGGAGTCTGCTCAGCTTGCTGAACTCGCAGAAACTCTTCTCCTCAGACTACTTTTCTGTGAGCTGCTAGATTGGAAGAGCCTGTTTCAGCTGGATCACAACTGCTGTCTCAAGCATCCAGGAGAATACAGGCTATGGAATTACGAAAACGCTTATTTACACTCTTTATGTGTTCGCTCTTTCTGGAAAAAGTATTCAAAAGCATTTAACAGTCAAGTTATTTTCAGGACAGAAAGATATCCAAGCAGGTTCATTACACGATTTATGAACATCAGTTAATACATAAGAGCATCACGTGTGTCAGAGCCTCCTACCTTGCATAGTCCACTGGAGTTTTGCCACTGGAATCTTGCGTGCCAGGATCAGCACCATAAACCGCTAATAGTTCCGCTTGCAAAGTCTGTCCTGCTTTAGCAGCAACGTGGAGCGGGGTGTTTCCTTTCTCCTGTGAGTTGTTAAGAAAAACATCTACTGAATCAAACAGGTCTGAGTGGCAGACTGAAATACAACATGTATCAGTTGAAATCACTGTAAATATTACAAACTAAGAATTGACTGTACATCAAAATACTGAAAAAAGCGTTCGTACGGGATGGAAGAAGTTGGCTTGAGCTCCTAAGGAGAGTAATCGCAAGCACGTCTCCAGATTCCCTGTCCTCACGCTGGAATGGAGTTGCTGAAAAAGAAGCAGGATTGTACTTAATACAGTGGCAATAACTGTGACTCAGCATTTGGAAGCAGGATTGTACTTCAGTGGCAGTGGCAATACAGTGATACAGTGGCAATAACTGTGACTCAGCATTTGCTTTTTTCAGCCATGCTTTCTGAAACGGGTACGCAAGAATCCTTGCTGCAGCTGTTTTGTGTAAACGTTTTTCTCCAAGTTAACCTAAACTGGTGCCTCGCAACCGTACACATCTCTAGTATCCATACCAGCCAAAAACCAGTGGCTTCAAGTTGAAATCAAGCTGTATTTGTTTACGTAATAGTACTGAAGAACAGCAATAGTTATGTCAAGTCAAAAGCAACTGATTTAGAATCACGGAATCATGGAATGGTTTGGGTTGGAAGGGATCTCAAAGATCATCTAGTTCCAACCCCCCTGCCATGGGCAGGGACACCCTCCACTACACCAGGCTGCCCAATTTGAGTCAGACTCCACTGCTATGTTACACACAGCTGTAGCTTCTGCAGGCTGCCAGAGAACACACACCAACCTTGCTAAGGTCTTTGGCAGTCACGCTGTCGTCTTCGCGGCACGGCAGGCGATGCACAAACGCCAACATTTGATACTTGGCTCTGATGAATTCTGCTTTGTTGGGGCTGCAAAGAGAAAGCCAAGCAACAGACAGCAACAAACAAACATTAGTGCTTTCATAACAATACAGATGCTCTACAAAAAGGAAAATTGACAAGTAAGGATTGTGTTAGATCTTTGCATCCTGTTAGCAGCCAAGTTAGACATGGAAAAACGTTTTCATTAAAAAAACAACCCAGTGCAGATTGTCTAACTATGCAGAGCATACTTTTGTCACAAACATCAAAACATCTGCAGACTCTAGGACCTAGTGTACATTTCCTAAGTAAACATTGAATGTATGTCAGCTTTAGATCCATACTTATTATATGCAGTTATTTGCATTCTCAAATGAAGCACCATATTCAGTCACAGAAATCTTCTCTCAATTTTTTTTAATTCATCAACTAAACTCCATCTCATTGAGTTAACTGAAGCATGTGGCAAGAGAATTAAAAGTCTTTTGATTCAAGTACAAGTAAAGGTCCTCACTATTTGAAGCTAGAGGTCAGGAAGCAATAGTTCAGAGAATTCAAGCAATGTATTTCCATTTTGCAATAGATTTTTAAAAAATAATCATTGGAAATTAAAAAATAAAAAAAAGGAAAAAAAGAGAGAGTGAAAAAGCAACTAGTTTACTCCTGTTCTCTTCCAGCAACAAAACATACACAGGTTCCCATGGATACCTTGCTGCCCCTGTCACTGCTGAATAAAATAATCACACTTCTACAAAAATAAAAATTCTGTCATTTTCCACTTACTGCACTTTATCCTGTGGGCTCGCCTTGCGCCTTCCACTCATCACAGAGGCAGGGTCCAGCAGAGAATGTTCCCATATGGAATTTGCACCATTATTATACAGCGTTTCAACCATCTGAAATCCAAAGTACACACAAACAGGCAGTAAAGCAATTTTGCTGCTAGCTGTGCAGACCAACTGATCTGTAAGCATCCTGGAGCAGACAGCAAGCCAACAGAGATTCCCATTCTGTGTGCCACATCCACAACCTGCCGGGACATCAACCAGGCACATGTCTAGGAGGTCATTGTGTGGAATGCATTAAGAAACTCCTTAAAATTCTCTCCTCTTCCCAACACCAGCTCTACTGAAAAGAGAGGTTTGCAATATACTGAAAATTTAGGTGGAAGCAGATGCAGCGCAGAAGCCTGAAAGAAAAGTTAAAGGTGATGTTCCAAAACAAAGGTATCAAATTCAAAAAGTACAGACAATTCTGATTTTAGTCGTCTATCACAGCCAAACAAAAGAAATAAAGGGAGAATAACTTAGAAAAAGAAAGCTTGAAAGGACCAGGCCCTCTCAAACAAAAGTGTAGCGATGTGAATTCCATTAAAAAAAAAAAGATATATCTATGTAGTTTTACTAAAGGAAGATGCAGCTTTGCCTGAAGTGTAGCGATTTGAATTCCATTAAAAAAAAAAAAGATATATCTATCTAGTTTTACTAAAGGAAGATGCAGCTTTGCCTTTCACCTGCAGCAACGTTGGAGGCCACGGGGTGTGCTTGAGGTGCCTCACTTGAGAGATATGACGCCCCAAGCTCCGGTGAACGCTGCAGCACTCGTCGCAGATCAGGATCCCCCTGTTGACAGACGCCCAGCACGGATCTGCAGAGGGACACGGGACTCACAACACAGAAGGCAGCACCACCTTGTATTGCACAGAGTCTACAACGAGGAGCCTTGGCTTAATACTCAGCCATCCTACGAGCGTGTAAGTGTTAGAGTCTTGCTGGGCCTCTGGACACTGGGGAAGGAGCAGCCCCTGCACCTACCGGGGACGTCGGAGTCCCAGGGCAGCAAGGAGACCACTGTGGGAACTCTGGGAAAAGCCCCACTGCTTGCAGTTCTTCTGACGAAAATACTTCCCTTTACAAGCACAACAGGACACTAAATTCGTCACCTTCTTGAAGTGCTTACTTGTCATTTAGTGGAGTCCTACAAAAATATTTCCAACTATAGTACTACCTGCTCCTTTGAAAATCTCAGAAGTCTATAAATAAAAAGTGGTAAAAGTAGTAATGCTTTTTTACATACTACTCAAGCTTCAGTTCTACATTACTATAATATTTTTTCATTTCTACATTAAATAATACGAACACTCAGGAGTGTCACAGTAAAAAAAAGACCAATACACATGTGTTAAGTTAAAGGCTCAGTAAAATCAAAATTTGTCAACACATTAACTTCAACTCTGACCAGATCCAAACCGAAGCCATCTCGTAAGCAAAGCAGAAAGAGAACTGAGGGAAGGTGATGCAGTAAATAACACACACTAGCTGCTATGTAGCTTCAAACATCAAAAAGTACAAAGCCGAGCAGGGATGTTACACCAGCTAGAAACTGAATAAATGCACAACAGGACATTAAAGTGAGGTCCCCGTGCTGCCCTGAGCTCAGTCTCCAGAAGAAACTTGTTTTCTGTGGGTGACACATGAACCCAACACGCCCAGAACCCTGCAGCAACAAGCAGCTGAGGAGCAAGACGCATCTTCAGATCTAGCACATCTCAGGAGAAAGAAAAAGGAACTCAAGATCTCTTCTCTTTTGGGAAATTCTTCTGGATTTCAAATCCAGAGATGAGTCTGAGGCTAAATAAGCACAGCACAAGCCTGGCTGGTGAGAGAACGTCTGCCTCCTGTCAGAATACATCTATGCAATTGTGCATCATAAAAAGAGCCTTCTCTGACCCATGCAATAAATTCACTGAAGCCCTGAAACGAGATCTGATCGTGGTTGTGGTTCTCCAGCAGAGTTGATGTGTGTGTGCTGAAGGCAATGCAGGCAGACCTGCTCGAACCACGGGCCGCGAGGGACGGGAGCATCTATTCACAGATGATAACTATCAGAGCCTGGAGCCAAGTTAAAGCATTATGTTTCAGGAAAAAATCTAACCTAATTAAAAAAACCAAACAAATTAATAACAAGCACGCAACCTCCTTATTAAATCATTCTGTTATTTTAACAGCTTTCACTTCTAAGAAGGAAAAAACTAACGATGAAATGAGATGTACTGGTGCTAACCTACCAGTCCAAGACTGGGCGCAGCCTTCCAGACTGATGAGCCTCATCCCTTTCCATTACAGACCACCTCATCCATAAACAGGATCTTTCCAAAAGCCATTCCATTTCGTGGTTCAATCACTAGCTACAGGCTAACAGTCCACATCATTTTTCTTCACACCCATCTCAACACCTGACCCAACCGGCGCAAAACAACGCCCGTTCAGCCGTGATGAAGTAAGCTGCTGTCGATTTGGTCATTTCATAGCAGAAACGGGGCTTTAAAGTCCTTCTGGAGAGAAAAAAGCTTGTCATTTCAGCTTGTACGTTCTACTTAAAAGAAATCACATTGATGAATGAGTCCACATTTACGCAGAATCTGTCACAAACTGGCATCACTGGAAATGTGAATAGTGAGATGCAAGAAAAACAACGATAAAAGGAAAAAAAAAAGATGACAGATTTGGCAAGGGAAAAGCTCAATACAATGGGCCAAGAGAACACCCACTGGAAATGTGAATAGTGAGATGCAAAAAAAAGACAATAATAAAAGGGAAAAAAAAAAAGATGACAGATTTGGCAAGCGAAAAGCTCAATACAATGGGCCAAGAGAACACTCTTGGCTCCTATGGAGTGCTGGGGAGGCCGGAGAGAGGACTGCAGCCTGGAGAAGAGAAGGCTCCAGGGTGATCTTATAGCAGCCTTCCAGTACCTAAAAGGGCCCACAAGAAAGCTGGAGAAGGACTTTGGAGAAGGGCGTGTAGTGGTAGGACAAGGGGAAATGGATTTAAACTGAAAGAGGGGAGATTTAGATGAGATCTAAGGAAGAAATTCTTCACTCTGAGGGTGCTGAGGCACTGGCACAGGTTGCCCAGAGAAGTTGTGGCTGCCCCATCCCTGGCAGTGTTCAAGGCCAGGTTGGATGGGGCTTTGGGCAACCTGGTGTAGTGGAGGGTGTCCCTGCCCATGGCAGGGGGGCTGGAACTGGATGATCTTCGAGGTCCCTTCCAACCCAAACCATTCTGTGATTCTATGACTGACAGCAGCTCAGGCCCCAGCTCAGAAATGTGAATCACACGGGACGGAGCAGATCCCACAGCGTGCATGGTGGAGAGCGGAACAATCAAAGAGCGACAGGAAGTTCAGCACTGCGACCTGCTTTCTGAGCCACACTGGTTTAAGTGAAGGAGGTTTTTTAATAGTACCATTTACTCGTTCTCAGGTAACAGGTGAGGATGGGAAAGGGAGAGGGAACACCATGTTAGATTGTCTGAAGACACAGAGAGAGCTGTCAGGTTATGGGAAAATTGATACTTCAGGTTTAAATTTAATTAAATTAAGCGTCTGTGCTGAAATTGATTTGAACCATTTTTAAGAGAGATCCAATTATGGACACAATCAAAATATGCTTAAGCCAATACCAAAATACAACCGGGGAGAAGCTGCGAAGATGGGCCAAATCTGTTTTCAGGCACACGGCAGAGTGAGTCAAAACAGGAAGCGTGCGATGAAAAGCCTGCACCGTGGTGCTAACAGCGAACTCCCACCCGAGAGTAGGAAGTGCACCAGAACCGGACACGTAACAGCACCTCGTGAAAGAAAACTGTCTGCACTCTGCCGTGGAAGCAAGGCAGGTATGGATGAAGCTCAGCGATGACAGCAGTGAGGCGTCCTGCACCTGCTGCACCTCCTTGGGGTGGAGAACCTGCAGGTCGCCGGGGCTCGGGGCACAGCTGCGCACCCAGCAGCTCCCAAACACCCCCCGACAAATCCTCTCTTGTTGAAGTAAAAGAAGGGTTTGATTTATTTTACTTGAGAAAGGACGAAATTACCACTTCTTTGTATATATGGATAAGCCAGCAGATTTCTTCACCAAGATCATGTAAATGTGTGACAAGGCTATAATGTCACGACACAACGAGCTTACCAGATCACCCTAACAGTGACTCCGGTGCACTGCACAGTCCTGATGAGCTTAACGACCACAAACACAGAACACAGCTTTATCTCAGAGTCCCACCACCACCGAGGTTCAGAAGCACAGATATGGTACCTGCAATGAGACAGGGACACCTGCCTGCCTAAGATATGCAAGCTCTTCACTGTGAAAACAGAATTCTGAGAAGACAGAAGTAACTCCCTGCAAGTTAATTTGGGATTTTTATTGTTTATTTTCTTTTTAACACAAGTCCCTTTCTACAGAAGTTGTTATCCCCTCTCCCACATCATACCTTCTGGCCGTTCAGATGTTAGAGGACTTTAATTCATTTCAGTATGTACCAAAGTAATTATACTGAAAGAACAGCACAGAACACAAACAAAAACTATGTAACTCTGAGAAGGAAAAACAACAAATATACACAATAGCTAAAAAAAAAGTTTACAGGATAGTTTTTAATATAAGAACAGCTGGTCAGAAAAGAAGATGCAATTGACTGACTGAAACAAATCTTTTTCAAAAGGGCCCAAACTCATCTGCAGCGTCAGACTGTGCATGTCAACACAGAGCACACGCTGCCCGCTGAACATTGCCCATCCCAGTCTGGCACTTGAGAACACCCTTTCTTCAGAGTCCGGGATACCTACACCCAACCCAGGCTGTGGGGCAAGTCCGGCACCAAACGAGTCCCAGTTTTATTCCCCCCCAACCCTCAGCTAAGAGATGTCTCCAAAGCCATCTTAGAATTATAGAATCACAGGATGGTTTGGGTTGGAAGCAACTTCAACGATCATCCAGTTCCAGCCCCCCTGCCATGGGCAGGGACACCCTTCACTACACCAGGTTGCCCAAAGCCTCATCCAGCCTGGCCTTGAACACTTCCAGGGATGGGGCAGCCACAGCTTCTCTGGGCAACCTGTGCCAGTGCCTCACCACCCTCTGAAAGAAAAATTTCTTCCTTAGATCTCACCTAAAT